GAGTTGGGATTTCCCCAGCCTGCCCTGCCCCTCACCCCCACTCCATCCTGCTATAAACCTCCTCTCCATCCATACCGTCCATATTCCCAACTCCTCTGCCCCCCAGTAGGCCCTGGAGCGATGGCTGAGCCCAGCCCCTCCCCCCATGTGGGAACTTCACCCCTGTGTCCCAGGGCACAGCAGTGTGGGGTGGGGCAGAGGGCACTGTGGGTATGTTTGAGAGACAGTAGAGACCCCTTGGGTCACCACACCCAAGGGAACGTGGCTGGCGCATCACTCTGCTCTGGCTCTTTCCACCTGCCCTCAGGGCCCCCAAGGCAGCTGAAGGGATCGGCCCCAGAACAGACACAAAGCATAAAGCACCCCCTGCCATAGCTCAGGTGCATGGATGAATCCCAGCTAAGACATCTGGGCCAGGATTTGCTGATCACCAGTCCACATGGGGCCTACACAGAGGCCCATGGCTGGAAGAGCCATTGATCAAAAGAATCTCGTCAGCATCACATAGAAAACATGGACTGGGATCCTGGACTGGAATCTCGGAGCAGCCTTCTCCTCCTCCTCCCAGAATGAGTTGAACCTGGCCTGGATTTCTGGACCTCTGGACTGAACTCAGGTGTGAGCCATTCCTTTTCAGCTCTGGAAAGATCCTTCAGCACAGAGGGGCCCCGGCTCCAGGCTGTCCAGCAAGGGTCAGATTCTGAGAGGGCTGTAGGCTAGACCAGGGCAGGGGCTGGAGATCATCAGAATCTCCAGACTGAGCCAATCGCAGAGCAAGAAAAAATGTGTGGACTCCAACCGCGGAAGAGGGGGCAGCGGGCTGCCAGGCATGGAGACTGGCTCCAAGGGAAGATGAACAGTATAAAACACGAGACACAGAGACAGGGGAGCTGGCTAGAGGGAGGGAGGGATAGATTGGTAGAGAGAGATCTGAACAGAGAGATAAAGTCATAGATGTGATGCCGAGAAGGGGCCATTTGACCCCCTAGCCTGACCTCCTGCAAAATCCACTCCACGGGATTCACCTAGTTCCCCTGTACTGAGCCCAGAAACTTGGGTTTGCCAAAAGACTTCATCCACAAAGGCAGCCAGCCTGGATGCAAAGAGATCGCAAATCTACCACTTCTCCTGGGAGTTGGTTGCAAGGATCAGTTGCCTCCCTGGGAAATAGCTGGGCCTTATTTCTAGTTGGAATATGTCTGGCACCAGCTTCCAGCCATTCAGGCTTTTTCTCTGCTAGACTAACGAGCAATGTGGGCCCTGGGATTTTCTCCCACTGTGATCAAGTTGATGGAGGACTTTGGATAGCGAGAGAGAGCAGGGGTGGGCAAGGAAACAGTGGTGGTTCACCAGGTGGGCTGCTGCTGCTGTATTTACCAGCATCTTGGCAGTATGGGCGATTGCAGCCAATGAACGGCAATCCGCAGCCAATGATCCCCCCATACCTGCAGGACCACAGGTAAATACAGAGGTGGGGGGGTTAACCCTGGCACACTGGATCCCACCTGTGGGCCGGTATTTGCCCACCCCTGGGATAGAGGAATGGAGATACAAGGATGGGTCAATTGGAAACAAAGGAGTTCAGAGGGAAGGATAAATAGGAGTGTGGAGGAGTGGACAGATGGACAGAGAGGTGTGGGTCTGGGAACAGACAGAGGGGAAGAGGTGAATGGATGAAGGGGTAGTTAGTGTATGGTAGAGGGAGTTAGCTGTGGAGCATGATGGCTGAGTAGGTAGGTAAAGGATTGGGACTGAGGGATAAATAGAGAGGATGGACAGAGGGATGAGGGGGTGGAGGCGTAGGTGGAAGTGTGTGGGTGGATATGGATGGAGAGGGGTGGATGGACAGAGGGGTGTGGGTGGATAGAGGGGAAGGTGGAGAGTGTGGATGGATGGATAGATGGATGGAGACAGAGAGGAGTGGGTGGATGAACAGAGGGATATGGGAGGATGAATAAAGAGGTGTGGGAGGATGTGTCATGGCTCCTTCCCCACTCTGGCATGATAAATGCAGAAGTGGGGGCCAGCAAGTGTACCCCAAAGCCTTATCTACCAGGCTTTGGTATAAAACTTCCCCCAAAATCTTAAAAACCTAGATCTTGGGAATAAAACTTCCACTGCCACCACCCAAATATTGATAAAGAAATCAGGGGAAAGATCATTTGGGAAATCTCACCCCTAAAATAAAAATCAGGGCACACAAGTAACCAATGCCAGGCTAATACAAAGAAAAGAAAGAACTTTTATTATTACAACAATATTCCTGTTGCCAGCATAATGACTAGATAGGAAGGTAACAAAATATACTCATGGAGAAACTCCATGGGCCTAGAACTTACAAAGAAAAGCCAAAACATCTTTTAAGCAGTGCCAGATCTCAGATCCCATACCCAACCCTTAAAACAATAAAGCCTAAGGAAACTACCTAAACTTTACCCTACTTACAGAAAATGAAGAATGGTGTCTTGGAGAGAGAAAGACATGCTTGTCCCTCTCTGTAGCTGCGGAGAACATCCGGATAGACAAAAGGGAGAAAGGAAAAAACCCAAATTCCTTTGTCCCAGTTTGAAAGTCCCACCTACATTCCTACTGGTCACTCCACCTGGCTAGGTGTAGTTAACCCCTTAATCCCCAGGCTGCTGGCTAACCCTCATAATCATGACAGGATGTGACACTACATCTCAAAGTAGCACCCTGGAACCCCCATACCCAACCAGACATATCATTAGGGTAGGCTTCATACTAAGCATGACACCCATATGAGATACAGAAAAGATCACGCTCTGATGAGATCCAGGTCTGTCAAAATACGTCTCTCGTCAGTGTGCACCATGTTGGGAGATTTGGCTGGAGGGCTGTTGCAGAAATATGCTGTGTGGTTGCTAGTGATATGCAAAGAAGGGGAACCACTCCCAGGAGGGTGTTCAGGGACCATTAATCAGCAGGGGCGTTGAAATCAAGGGATTTACAATTCAATGATAGTTGCTCAAGACCACCCGAGGGGGATTGCTCAACCCTGTGGCTCAGCAAAGCCCACCAGGACATGCCTGGGCTTGTATTTACCAGGCACATGGCCTGAGAGGTAAACTAAGGGACTGTGGTATCAAGTATCATGCCTTGGCTTTTCTCCTCTGCCAAAGTCAAAGACTTCAACGAAGAGGGCTAGTCCTGGGCTTACGGGAGAGTTCTGTGTATTATGCTCTGTAACTTCCAATGGGAGGAAGAAAATGGTTCATCTAAACGCTGCCTAATGTAACAGGGGTTAAGATCAATGCAGACTGCACACTTACCTTTTATTGTCTTGGCTAACTATCTGACTTTTTGTGCCCACCAGTTGTAATAATTTGGCATCTCTCTTTCCCCAGTTTAATACGTCTGTTTTGTGGTTTACTTAAATACCGGTAGTGTATTTTGGTTGAAGTGCTTGGGGAATCTCAGGTCAGTTTACAAAGGCTGGGGCATCATGTTTTCTCCACATTGAGGGAGGGGTGGACTGGGTAGTACTGTTACACTGGTCCTGCACAGCTCTCCAGGGCTGGGGGAGGCCCCACATCACACACCTGCCCAAAGATCCAGGACTTAGGACACTCTGCGGCTGGAAGCATTTGGGCAGCCTGGGGAAGGGCTCTGGGTTTTGGCAAGAGGAGGGGATGGGAGTGGGGTTCAGGCAGAAGGGGTGGGCCAGGCCAGGGTTCACTCATTGCCCACAGCTAGAGAGCTGGGAGAAATCAGCCAGTTTCTTTCCCTGTGTAATGTGTGAGTGGTTCTGGAATAGTCATGCGGCCTAGCTGGGTGTGGGGATCCACATGCTGTCACGCTGAGTGGTAACAGCCCCAGGAGGAGTTTTCTACTGGTCACTAGCAAAGCTCTGAGACAGCCCAGGCTGGAAAGTTAAGAGGGCACAGCAGTGCCCCAGCTCCTGGGACCCCGTCGCAGTGGATGGAGGAGTTAGAATAGAGGGCTAGCAAGAGCGAGGTGGGTGGGTGGATGGACAGAAGGTAAGTAGAGGGGTGTGGACGGGTGAATGGATGGAGAAGTGTGGGTGGATGGAGGGATGGCTAGAGGAGGGTAGATGGGTGCATAGACGGGGTGCGGGTGGACAGAGGGGTAGCTGAAAGTGGATGGATAGAGGGGTGTGACTGAATAGAAGGTAAGTAGGGGGTGTGGATGGGTGGAGAGGTGTAGGTGGATGGAGGGATGATAGAGAAGGGTGGGCGGGCAGGCGGATGGAGGGGCAGATTATGGGGTGTGGACGAGCAGACGGATAGAGGGCTGTGGATAGAGAGGTGGAAGGGGCTGTGGCTGGATGGATGGAGGGTGGGGGTCATGGGAGGTAGGTGGAGGGAGGGGTTGGTCCAGGCACACAGCAACGTGGGGCACAGCCATGCAGGAGATCAGGAGTGGGAGCTGGTTTCTATCACCTGCGCTGGCCTCCCCTCCCCCCACCCCCCAGGACCCCGGCCCCCCCCGCACA